CTCCGTAACCACGATAAAATACATTTTTTTTTATATTGAGTCTAGCTTGGTACTCTAGTCAATTTTAAGGAATAATGGGCACCCAAAAAAATTAAGAATTGAATAATTGGATGTTTTATTAGACTTTACCTCTTCGGTTGTCTTCCAAGCTATTGTTGTGGAGGAAGAACTATTCACCGAATAAAAGCTATATTAAAAATGTTGTATAAATATGGGGGTTTTCCCAGAGAGGGTACACGGTCAAATACATTATTTACTAACAAAATTACCAGAATTGCCTTGTCGACCTTCACTCATAGATTCTTTGATTTCTTCTCTCTTATCTCTATTGTGAATTTTTCATAAACATTTTGTTTTTAGATTTCTCCACCTCAAATTTTGCATATATCTAACTTCGTCATTCATCATTTTTTTTCACCCGAATCCCCATACAAACTTTGTGCTCTATTTCTGAATATAAAGTTCTCATGAATCCCTCTCTTCCGGAACTAGGAACACCAAACACAAGGATACCACTTAAGATCGCGTACATAGTTGGTTAGATGCAAAATTGTTGTATACAACAATAAAAGAAGTGCGAGAAATAAAATAAGGAACTGGTTTCTATGAGTCCATGTAGAAATGAGTCCCCTATTAAAAATCTATTTTTGAGATAGATTTTTGGACTTAATTTTTAAGGACATATAATCTCTAACATGAGGATTACGAATATGAAAAAATAAATAAATTTTAAAAATTAAAATAATAATTCTATAAGAAACATTTGGACAGTTCGTTCCAATTATGTTTAGATGGATCATCTATTTACATCAATCTTTAAGATGGATGCTTTATACCTTGGGGACCGCAAATGTAAAAATACGGTCCCCACCACATGAAACAATTGTCCATAAAACAAACATAAAAGAATTACCACAACAATACACGATTTACATAGTTCACCCTGTAGGGCTATATCTATGGTCTCGATAAGTAGAAACTCACTATCATCGTAAAGATTACAGTTTTGGGTTACAAAATACCTCTATCTAAATATTGATTAAAAACCTTATTGATCTCCCAGCTGAAGAACACCATTGATCTTCATATTTCATCATCACTACACCGCTACTAGAAAAAGAACCTTGAGAGCCATCATGGGACTCTCTTTAGAAGTGAAAACTACCAACTCAAAACTCCAAGGAAAAACCTCTTCTCTCTTGGAGGTCATATCCCTCTCTATTGGAAATACATCTCTATCTTGGAGAAAAATGGTGACTCAAGAAAGGTAAGTATTATGCCTTCCTTTGACTCACTAGTTTGTTTTTTTCACTCCCCAAAAAAATCCCTTTTTCTTATTTCCATATTGCCTTTAATGTTTTGAGGAAAACAGACATTTGGGTATCACTGAACCTAGCCTATTCTCTCTATATTTCTTTTGCTGCCTTCACAAGACATAAAAATTGATATCCATGTTTGCTTTGTGTCTCAAGAAGCCCCCTTTCTAAATGGTGCATGGGCTTTTACTTCAATTAGATTCTCTCTTTACAAAATACAATTTTACCTCTATCTATACATTGGAAAAGGGATTGGGGTCGTGGTAATAGCACCCCCACTACTTAATCATGTTGTGGTTTTCATTCTTACTGTTGTCACCGCACTAACATTCTAAAAAAACGAAGTCCTAAACTATTGAAAAAAAACACAGATAAAAAAATGTCTTCCCCGCTGCATTACCCAAAAGTAAATAAAACAAAACAAAAAAATCCATAATGAGTTTTACATACCTATCCCAAAAAGAGTACAAATTATATAACCAAAATACCCTTCCTTTTTTTAAGGTTTTACAAATGCAAGGAAGGGGCAGAGAATTTCAAACCACTATGCAACAATGTAGAAGACTTTTCGTTGCCTTCTAAGGGAAGTACAAAAAGTTGAATGGAATCCATTCACGTGGTTGGTCTAGATCATGCAATGAGAGTCCGACACCAATTGAATATCGGCCAACCCACCAACTCTAAGAGTGGACGGTTAGATGCAGCACTTTTAGAACCAGAGTGGCCGCGGACCTAATCAATGGTCTAGTCGGTGAAAATTAGTCTAACTACCGGTCGAATCAATTGAACTACTTTTTTTTTCCTTTTATGTATGATATTATTTTTTATATTTTATAATTTTTATTATTTTGAAACGGCGAGACAAGAGGTGATAGAGTTTGAAATTAATTGAAAAAATTTAAGTAAGGCACGAATAGAAGATAAGATGAGAGATAGTAGATTTAGGTGGGCTGACCACATGTACAGCAGACTCAATACAACGCCGATTAGGATGTGCATGTTAGTTCAAGTGGAAGGTTCAAGAAAAATAAGAGGTAAGCCCAAAAGAACATGGATGGAAGTAGTAAGAAAAGATATAGGGATTTATGACCTCACTGAGGGTATGAATGATAGGATCTGTATAGCCTACCCCAATTAGTTGGAAAAAACAATAATGATGATGTTTTCTATTATTTTGACACATTTTCAAATGTTTTGGTAAAGATTGGAAAGTGTTTTGGCCATGAATACTTTTTTTTACATTTTCCCTTTTTTAGGTTTATTTCTAAAACACCCCCATGACAAATTGATTTTTTTCATAATATACCTTTTCACTATTTTTTTAACTTCACTTAAATGTATTTTGTTTGATTTTACTTTTTAAAATATTTTCTTATTTTTCAGATTTTTTGTATTTTTTATTTTTTAACACTTTTTGGCCTCCAAGTAACTTAATGCAAGCCCCATGGCCTAGTCATGATTTCCCACACTATGCTAAAGAATATGCAAGAAAAATTGCTTTTCTTTAGCATGTTCAACCAATTAAAGACAACCAATAAACATCAGTTTTGAACAATTTTTTAGTAAATTAAATTTTTGCATTGTACCACACACCAATCAATTATCCGATGTATTGGTTCTGAATCCAATATTGAGAACAAGTATCATATTTTGGCTAACACATTGTATTCCATTTGTGAATGGCTCATTCATTGGATCATTTAAATTTTTCTTTTTTCCTGAGTAGTTCAATTAGTAATCAAACTTGAGATGCGGCGTTGCTAAACGGCAGTTGCTAACCTCTCAAGCCCAAGCCTGATTCCTGGATCCAATTCTCTAGCTTGGCCCATCTGGAAACAAAAAGACCCAATGGCACATGTTGAAGGTGATATAAAAAAATATGCTCAATTATGTGTGGCTCGTTAGCCCTAGGTCAAGCCCTTTTTCTCTTTATCATTATCTTTCTTTTTTGCCTAAAGGGAACACAAAAAACAATCTATTTTCTTCTATACCTTTAAGTCATCCAACCCCACCATAGTTTTCTCTAGTTGTAAAGGCTATACTCTATTATATTATATTGAATTTCAAGTATGTTCTATTATATTGGAATTGAATATGCAAAACATACTATATGCCCATCGTTGTTTCATGGTAGTGTTTTTTCCTTAGTTTTGGTGCATTGAATTCAAATTGTTTATTTTATTTTATTTTTTTTATTTATCATAATTCAATGGTGAAGACACGCCCCCGTTTTTTTGCATAGCTTAGGGAGTTAGCTTTTTAAAGTGTTAATGGGTGGTATTAGCAAAATTGAAAATCACAACGTGGTAACTAGGTACGGGGGTACTACCACCACAGCCCAACCCTTTATTTTAGTAGATTGAATGTTAGGGGTTATCTAATCCTATTATTGACCGATGGCCCAGCTCTTTCCACATACGAGATTATAAAATTGCAATTGTTGTCATTTAAAAAGTCTGAGTACCTTTCTTCCACTTGGAAAGAATAGAGGTAAATGGTATCATTGTATACAATCCCTATACTAAATTATCATAATGTAGTTGATCAACGATCCTACATATCAAGTTTCATTCCTTTAGTTCAAATACCCAAAAGAAACTGGGAAAACATTTTGTTTGCCCTAGACAAATCTTTGCAGTGGTATGCTCTCTTCCATTTTGGGGCACTAGGGGCTTCTGTTTTGCCCCATACTTGAGACATTCTATCGAACACAATGCGGTTTGTCTATTTGATGTGCAGCTAGGTCTACCCCTTTATGAACTCAAGATCAAGTTTTATTTTTCGAAATTGTTTATCTGATGATGATGAAGTCCACTAGATTTGACTCAAACAAAGTCACCTATATTTTCTTTCCTAAAGGAGTTGGCCACTATATTCACTTCATTTTTCCTCTGATAAATTATTATTCAGGTTTTTTTTTCACGAACTTCTTTTCAGGATTCATGAGAATTGCGTGTGGAGTTTTTTGTTCTTTTTGCTTAATTCAGTGGTAAACACAAGTCCCTACTTGTTTTTCATACAGACAGGGAGTCAAAATTTTTTCAAGGTGTCAATAAGTTGTGTCAACAAGATTGAAAACCACAATGGTAACTAGATACAGGGGTGCTACCACCACGAACCAACCCCTTTCCTAAAAAATAAAAAATACATGCAGAATACAAATGTCTCTAAAACGCGAAAAGGGGAAGAGCAAAAACTATTGCGATCTACCAATCGGCGGACCAAGTATTTTCCATGGGCACACCAAGAGCGATGCCATCCATGGATTTTCAAAATCCAAGATTTGCTACCCCTTGTCAATCAAATTTGGAGTATGAAAATTTAAGATTCTTGATTTCGTCCTACTCAAATGCCCCTGAGAGCCTACTTGGATTCTGGAAAAATATTTTTGATAGTGTTTTGCTAGGGACATTTCACATTTCTACTGTTTGGATCCAAATCTAGGACACATTTCTACTGTTTGGATCCAAAATCTAGGACGGAATATCAAGGCCGAAACATCTAAAGCCCAAAATAGAGAAAATTTGTATCCTTCCCATGAACTAAAAAATTATGTTTTCATGCAATTTTTTTCCTATCATGGTGCCAGAAAAATCAAAACGGGCCTAATGCCCAATGGCACCCCAAACATTCCAACACAGATTCATCTAACAATCAAAGGCTCAGATTCGATACGCCACACCAGAAAAACCGAAACATCAACTCAGAATCCAACCTATTAAAAAACTTGCGGGGTATGTCAACCATGAGGCCTCCACCCTAACCCCTTTCCAATGTAAAAAAAGGCAACCTAAAGTAGGCATATAACAAAAACCAGAATAGGGAATGTTACAGGGAATTAGAGTTTTGTCTCCAGGTCCCAATGAGAAAAGTTACAGTTCACTAACCAAACCCAACATTGGAAAGCATCATATAGCACAAAGCTTTTTATTAAAGTTTCTCTTTCTTCGTGTAATATCATAAACAAAGAAATCACCCCTTTCACTCCTCTACCACAACACCGATCTCGCCCTTCTCAAGCAAATCATAGAACTCCTTGGTTTTCCTCTGTTCATTCCAGTGATGCATCTTCCAAAGACCTCCAGCAAAGAGGCCAAGAGTAAGCCCATAGCAAATCTCCTTCACGATGCTCGGTCCTTTGTAGACCACGTGACCTATACTGTGGGCAGGCATCCTTACCAGTCAACGGCCCTCTTCTCTGAAAAACAACAGTCCTTATCAATTACTAAACTGCAGAGTGAGCATTTTATTTAAAACAATGATGGGGTTTTGGTGCATCCCAATTCCAATGTGGTCTCCTTCCAACAAACCAACTTAAAGATGTATTTTGGATCTAAATTTTCAGAGGTCAACAATCTTGAATATTGCAATTATAAATCTGGAAAAAAAATGACTTTTGAACCTTAAAAAAAAAAAAGAAAAAAAAAAAGAAAGAGATAAGAAGACTATTTTAAAATTTCTTTTTAGACCAATCATATTTAATTCTTCACATATCATATCTAAACTAATTTTTTAGCTGCAAAATCATGGATCTTCAGAGGTTATGCATCTAGAGCTACTTAGTGTGTTTCAGATCCTAATCCATCTCTACGATGGATTTTTCGAAGGGCACACCTTTTAATAGGAACGTGCCAAAGACTTTACCCTTAAAATAATGTACACTTTAATAATATATCAGCATGTTTATCAAAGAAGGAATGAACACACGATATATACATGCTTAACAATATCGTGACACTTTGATCAAGATAAAAAAAAAGAAAATGTTGCCAAAGCTCCATCAATTATATAATCCGTGTATTTATAATGGGATAAACTTTCTAGAGCAATAATCATCAGCATGTCAATCAATTGGAAAAGAAAAAGGAAATAATATCAGACATTGCAAAAGAAAAAGGAAATACACGAGTTATTCTCTCAAGTTTGTTCAACAGAAGCACTAAAAGCCAAAGCTTTTAGCATCTCAAAGTCTCAAGCACCACAAAATATCCACAGAAAAATAAAATATAAAGACAAATGTAGGAAACAGTCAAGATCTAAGTCACCATGGGCACTTGTTTAAGTTTTCTGCTAATTTTTTTTTTTTTTAATTGTCGAAGATATCTTATATTACTATACCAAAAAATTATGACGCATGATGTGAACCCCCACAAAAGGCCCAGCCTATGAGATCATGTAACAAAAATGGTGCTCGGGAATAGCACTCTATACATAGAGAAAGAAACCTAAAAATAAATTAAAAAAAAAAAACCAAAAAACAAAACAAAATAACGAAAAACAAACAAGCCAGAAAATCAGAAGGCCAAAAATGTGGAATTGGGCTCGAAAACTTGCTGGTTCGGTTCCACTGCTGAGTCCTGTGGAAGATCATTGTCATATAAATTACACTCTATGTATCTATGCATAAACTTTTTTATGAGTGCAATCAAATGTGTACCCACTAAGATAACATCTCCAGATTCACAGAGGGCACAGGGTCCAGTTAAAGTCCAAACTGGTCGAGCCAACTAGTCCATTCCGTGCATTGTAACATTGCAAACAAAATAAACCACACTGGTTTTCTCCTCTTACTAGCCTTAGAGAAGATGCAATCAAGTAACACATATGCATGACATTAGACCCTTTTTCTCTACAACGGGGCGAAAAAAATTTCCTTTCTCGGCGTACAAATGGAACAAAGGAATATTAAATTTTTGATGAAGAATCAAAGGGATACTAAGTTCTGACTTCTTTTTCTTCCAGTGTCAAAAGTCAAAACTTAAATAACACATTCGTTTTGATTCAGATCAAAACAACAAGTTTTCACACATTTGCATTGGACATTTCCTGGGCAGTAACCTGCACCTGTTGTTAGACTTAAGATATAACAGATCTCCCCCAGAGTGCCCGTTACTTATATTTCACAAGATGCACCAATATGTGATACAGTTGCCACCAAAAGCCCCCATTCTATCACCTTTGTATTCTAAACCAATCCTTTGTATTCTAAACCAATTTACACAAACAGGCATCACTTAACCAAAACAAATGTAAAGTGCTAGAGCAATAAAACACACTAATCTACAATTAGCGAAAGTTTAAACATTATAGTATGCCATACATGCTATACAACCACATAGATAGATCTGCAAGAAGAGTGTTACACGACTAGGAATCCATAATAATATGTATGTCAAAAATCTGGGGTAAATAAAACACTACCGACGAGACTACCTAAAGGGCCAGATATACCAGGTTCTTTTTTCTGTCTTTTTTAATTGCTCAGGTTTCCCACATTTTTACCACTCTAGTGACCCATGTGGACGAGTATAACAGGTGACTGAGTTTGCCTTAAATTCAACTATTCTGAATTAAGAAAATAAACATATTAAAGTCCATCTACACCTTCCAATCCCAAATGGTCAGTCAACCTTCCAAGTTCGTGGAGCGAAGTAGAGAGTCATCGAAGCAATAATTTCCCAACAAAACACCTAGGTATCGACCAGGGAGTGTTAGTTATGCTTCCTAAATCCAATCAACTGCAAGTACCCACAACTAAGTACTCAACAACTAACAAATGTATCCTTTGGCCATTCAAGTGAGTCATCAAGAAACTCACAGTATCTATAGAAGTTACAAGCCTAATTGAAATGTAGTCCTCTCACATCAACTCCTCACATATCATGACAGTGCCACATGTACTATTCCACAATCACTGGAACAAGCGACAAAAATTGAACAAAGGAGTTTCTGAAAATATCATGAAATTAATCTCACTGTCAAAATATTTTGACTCGCTATCCTCACCTCACAGACTGTCTGCATTTCATCTTTTTCAGGGGAAACAAATAGAAAACTTTTGCTTCTTTTCATAAAGAATCAAAGTATCCCACCCAGTTGGAGACTGTGAACCCAATCCAAGAAGAGAGCACCTACCCACAATACCTACGATCATAGCATAACAGAACCCTAGTTTTACCATATCCATCTGCAAGGTGACCAGAGCCCACAAAAAAATAAAAAATAAATAAATATGCTAGCTTTACTCCCTTCTGTGGACCGTAACTAACCCAAAATTAGTACAACATGGTTGAAGTAAATAACACAACCATGCTTGTAACTAGTTTCTTTCTTTCTTAACAATTCACCATTCCTTGATTTGAAGCATTCTTAAGCTAGTTTGGCTAAATGGCTTCACAACTTCGCTATCTAGACAACCTTGCAATACCAATAGGCACATTTAAGGTATCAAGTCGTTACAAAATATTGAGACCTAGTACTAAACTAGTTAGGGGGGGCAATTTAGTGCAACTGGAAGGCTCTAAAAGGGCAAGGAGGCCCAAAAGGATATGGATGGAAGTAGTGAGAAGAGATATAGTGACTTATGGTTTGACTGGCGGTATGGCCCTTGATAGAGCAGAATAGCGGAATAGGATGTAACCAACCCCAAATAGTTGGGATAAAGCTCTGATGATGATGGTGATGATGAAGTCTATCCAAAATGCCCCAATTATGTCAACGAACATTCTAAGCCTTAAAACTGACCCACCATGGATGGGACAAAATGAGTCACAGACTAAATATTACTGGCTCTCCAAACAAAATAAAAAAGAAATCATATTGGCTAAAATAGACCTATACTCGTATGATATATAGAAAGACCCATCTTTACAATGGAATAACATAGCCTTATATTTAAAACATGCAGAAACAACAAATACACAAACGAAATATAGTGGAACACTTGCATTAATGTATATTCAACAAAAAATACCAACCAAGGAAGGTTAATCAGACCCATAAATTCCTCAATTGGGGTGGTTTTAAATATTGAACATGCTAGACACAACTTACTGCAAGCAGCACCCATGAGATACCATGACTGTTATTAATGGAGTCATGATGTCACTTCCAATTCCCTTAGAACTACAAAAACGAATGTGCTCCTTACTAAGAACAAAACTTTCAAGTTCTCTACACAAATGGGTCAACCCCTAAGAAATATATACTGAGTAAAAAACTAGAAACAAAAGCTGTCATGTAATTTCTTCTTGATTCAATATTCACAAAATCAACTCCAAATTGCTGGCATCTCTATGTTTTCTGTTTTACGGGTAACACTTTTTCTTCTTGCTCCTTGAGGTTCAATCCACTTCACCGCAACCCTCATCTTCAATGTCCATGTGGTGCCATAAGGTTCAACACTGACTGCAGATAGCACAACCCACGAGTGGCATTGGACACATGCAGACTCAAGCCGTTTGCAAAAGATACAAACTTTACCACTTTCTTGACCAAGTATGCAGGTCGTCTGGTCTCATGTTTTTCTTACTCTTTTTATCCTTGCCAAATTTCTCAGCCTTCCATGAAATACTAATGACATACACCATTTCTTCAGGCACAAAGACTCATCTCCACATTAATCATACCAGAAGTGTGAATATTTCAATTGAACTATGAAAGAAAAGTTGCGACTTTTGTCCAACTAGTACAAAGCACAGTATAATGCAACTCTGCTCCTATACCAAGGGTAGTTTGGGCCTTTACTAATCTAAAATGGGGCATTTTTTCTCAAAAATATATGGATACCTTTCAATTTTTGTTTTAAAGATCACAGAGTCGACACAGACTTGCGTTTTAAAGATCACAGAGTCGACACAGACTTGCTGAGTCCACTCAGAGTGGCACCCCAACAAGTCTCCAGCCGAGTTTCTTACGCCTCTTCTTCTGTTTCTAGGAAAGACTCAGCCTTCAATTCTCTTGGGCTCTGCCAAAGTCTTGAGGCCAGTCAACTAAACTCAGGGCTATGTCAAGTCCTGAGCCAAGTCCGGGGTACAAAACTTTGTTCCCTCTGATTGTTGAAATCATTGGGATTCCCTACATGCTCCAACTTACTGTCAACAATCCTCTAATACACACTCCCACATGCCATAAGCTCTCTAACCAAATTTTGTTTTAAAAATCGCAGAGTCGACACAGACTTGCCAAGTCCACTTGGAGTACCACCCTGATAAGTCTCAAGCCAAGTCATAGGAAACTAAGCCTGTCTCAATCCCTTCCTCTAATTTGAGGAAACACTTGGAGTGGCACCCCACCAAGTCTCCATTCAAGTCATAAGAAACCACGCCTGCCTCAATTTCTTCTTCTATTTCTAGGAAAGACTCAGCCTCCAATTCTCTTGAGCTCTGCCGAAGTCTTGCCTGTGAAATAAACTAGAGG